GACGGGCAGCCCGGCCCGAGAGAGGCTGCCTGCGGGGCCGCTGTCAGGGAGGGAAAACGGAGCGCGTGGAGCCGGAGCTGCCGAGAACACAACTCGGAGGGGTCGGACCTGACTCCGGGGTCAGGCAGCCAAACATGTTTCCAAATCCCCAGTTTGAAGTAGCGGTGGGTGGGAGATCCCACTGCTTCTGTTCCCTTACAGGGCAGCATCTTGTCTTGAAGTTCTTAAATCACTCAAAGCCTTTTGGCACTTTTGTCTTTGTCTATGACACCTGAAGAACCTGAATAACACCTTATTGTTATTTATTATTATTATTATTGTTATTACTAAAAAGGCAAAACAAGCTGCCTTGTGCATTATAATTATAATAATTCTCTACCTAAATGGGTTGTGAAACCTGCCTTGGAACCGGCACTTGCTGGAAAGTGCTGCCTAGCTTCTTAAAATAAGTATTTGATTTAGTTGTGCATTTTGACGTGTATTTTGCAGCCCCTTTTCAATTACTTGTTACAAAGATGTTTAGCAGTATGTTTTCCTGCAGAAACTTGTGTTTTTGCGTGATTTATATATGTCTTTAAAGGCAAAGCCAACAGTTCCTGCAGCTCTCCCGTGTCACCGTTCCTTAGAACAACATGTGTCCTGCCCTAGCAAGTTGTGCTTGTTCCTACCAACCTGTGTCAGCCCCTGTGGCAAGGTGCTGCGCTTCCATGCTGAAAAAGGGAAGCATGGATTTCTTCATAAAAGTAATAGGTGCCTCAAAGCACATGGTTAAATAGTCTTTTTAAAGCTTTACTTTTAATTGTTTCCTCATTTATTAGCTTTTTGAAATCTTAGTATCTCCTTGCTTTATTCCTGTAATTGTATGTCTTTTTTTTCTAAGATATTTTTGTGTGAAAGATATATATATATTTGATTGAAGTTCTCTTTTTTTTGTTTCACTTTTTAAAAAATTATGTTAATATATTCATATTGGTTGAGTGGTTTTTTTGCTGCTGTGTTCTTTGCAAATACAACATTGGAAACATTCAATGAGAAATGTACTTTTGAGCTTCTGTTTAAGAAACAGTCTTTAGCTGTTTAAGCTGCTGTTTAATAAACAGGTTGGACATTTATTTTTCATATTTTATGGGTTTGTAGGTAGGGCCGATCAAAGTATAACAGTATCTAATGAGTTTAGTGAGAGGCGACTTGCAGCATTAGCTGCTTGGTGGCTACTGCGTGGGAAATCAGTGTGATTTTCTGAGGACCTTCTCGTTTGCTCACATAGAACTTTTAGTGGGGTCTGTGAAATGTTGCAGTTTGAAAGCCATGGTGATAGTGGTGGCGGGGGGGAGAAGGAGATATCAAATCAGTATCGGATCCACAGTCCGTGGACTGTAGGTTCGATCGCCTTCCTAGGAGGGAATCGAGTTCCCAAATAGTGTAATCACCTATCAGCTCGACCCTGGCAGTATCGGATTCTCGAACACTCGGTTAACTGTAGGTCCGATCGCCTCCCCCAAACAAGTAGCCGAGTTCACAAACATATGATTTATTCAAATGCAACATTTACAAAGCAGGTTTGGGATGTCAGTACAGGAAATTCTCTACTACAGCGTGGGGTTTTTCACTAGCTCTGATGTACAAATGTGCAGTCATCACTCACCCCAGAATATGGGAGAGGGCTCTCAGTCTCGAGTCTCCTCTGGCGGCGTTCCAGTCTGAGGGAAGGAAAGGGAGATCAGCGCATCAACTGATCCAGGAGTTACGATGGATTCTTCCCTCCTCACTCCTTAGTCTCCTCAGGCAGCGTCCCAACCTGAGGGGAAGGAAGGGGGCTCATCCCATCGGCTGACCCAGGAGTTAGGATGGTTTCTTCCCCCCACCTTTTCATCCTTAGTTCACCTTTTTAATTCTCTTTTT